TCCAATTGACGACGAGCTTCATCAGTTGAGCAGCTCAAAACTCGTACAGACATATAGATATCGTTTCGCCCTTTTCAAAATATCCGGATTGATCGAGAAGTTGGGAGTTAGGTTCCAAGTTGTTCATTGTGGGGACGAGCATTTGCATTACAAAAGCACGATTCCCGAACCCTTCACACTAATTGAATCCCCTCTGAGGCTTCAGGGCTAGATTGTCTGTTTTCCCATTCTGATTCCAATCCACGCATGTCTGGAGCGGAATCTGCGAGGGCCGACTTGCATGCCAAGGCTTCTCAGGGCGCCATTCTGCATTGGTGGCTCTCTCGTATTGAAGGTGAAGTGAAGTGTGAGGCCCGGGTTGGCGGGCAGCTGAGTAATTGGGAGCGCGGTGATTTTCCGGTTGACTCCGGAGTACGAGTATGGTTTCGCTGGTGGGAATGTGATGGAGCACATTGGGGGGCTGTTGTGAATGATTTCAAGTTTCTAGAGTACTGGTCGGCAGCGTCGGCGATTTGTGGACTGAAAATAAATAATGGTAGAAAACGAACCAGGAGAGAAAAACCAGAAATGAGATGACTGATGATTGAGCAAAAGCGGTGAATTTCGCAACTGCGAATTTTCATCCTCCCAGAGCTTCTAACTTGTAAAGATACATTGGGGTTAAGATTAAGGATCGGAGTTGCAGTTGAGGTCCTGCACGGTATGAAAAATTGCCTCCATTAACACATCTATGTCGAGATGAGCGTTGATATAGATTTGATGTCGAGATATAGTACATTATTTTTGGTAGAAATCGGATAGCCGACCGCGTTCAGTCGGACTTTGCACCCAAACTGAAGGTTGTCGGGCACCGCTGGTCGTGGCTCAAGTAGATTAATAATTGCACGGTGTTGCGCGGGAGATTGGATATCGAGCGCACGCCGAGGGAGGATATACACCTAGGCCGAAGGAGTATATAAGACATGCTCAATTCCCGTCCTCTGAGCTCACAATTATAAGAAGGAAGAAAGAAAAGAAAAAAAGGCATTCTTAAATACCCCAAGGAAAGGGAAATCCAGAATCTAGAAAAACACAAGGATTGAAATACCGCACAGGGAAAGATGACACAACTACCCAAACCCCTCGTCCTGCATGGCAAACTTATCGTCCCCAATCCATTCAAAGTAGCCCTGATCCTCGGCGAGCTAAACCTCCCCTACATCATCGACCTCATCGAATTAGCCGACGTGAAAACCCCCGCCGCCCTTAACCCCAACGGCCGCCTCCCAGCCCTCACCGACCCAAACACAGGCCTCGGGATCTGGGAATCCGGCGCAATCATCGAATACCTAGTGGCCATGTACGATAACGGACCAAAGCGCAAGCTGAGCTTCGAGCCCGGCAGTGTAGACCACTGGCATGCCATCCAGTGGCTGCACTTCCAAATGTCCGGTCAGGGTCCGTATTTCGGACAGTCGTTCTGGTTTCAGAACCACCATCCGGAGATTTTGCCCAGCGCGATTACGCGGTATGAGAATGAGGCGAGACGGGTTTGCAGTGTGTTGGATGGGTGGTTGGAGGGCAGGCTGGGGGTTAGTGGTGGCGGGATTGGGAAGGAAAGGAAGTATCTCGTTGCATAGAAGTGTTCGTTTGCGGACTTGGCGTTTATCCCGTGGCAAGAGAATGTACAGAAGTGTATTCGTTATGGCACGGATGGGGGTGCGTTTGATCAGGAGAAGGAGTTCCCCCATATGCATGCTTGGCTCGAGCGGATAAAGGGCCGCGAGGCAGTGAAGAAGGCCTTCGTGGCGCGTGCGGAGGCTAAAAAGGGCCAGACGGAACGGGAGGTGAAGAAGTAGGTTGTGGTGTGTGGCGGTTTTTGAAGGTAATGATTGTGGGTTGGGATAGTGATGAGAGCATTCAGCTAATTGAATAAGAATGCTGATGCTATGTAATTGAAACAACAATGAGATATATGCATATATTAGAATTCATCACATCTCATTCTCAATGGAGACTCCCTTGTGTTTTTTCATCTCACTCCTTGTTTCTCCCTTTCTACCCCTTCATTCATACATCTTTGTAGTTATGAAAATAAACAATACTGAGACAGGTATGTGGATTAACATGTTGACAGAATGAAACAAAGTAAAAAGCACATCTGAACTGGAAGGAAATCAGTGTACACATAATTCATAGCATGGCCATATAGAGCCATGACATAGAAGAACAAAACCACATGGGAAAGGAGAAAGACACAAATAATGGTGGTGAAACATGTGAGACCTGCATGCATGCAGTTGATGCATTGTTCATTGTCATTAGTCATGCAAACATAAAAGAGGGGTAGGGAGAAAATGTGTGCATAGGAGACAGAAGGAATAAAATTATTCAATCCTCGCAATATAATTTACGCTGACCATGATCACGGCCAGAGTCTCGGGTTGCACAGATAGAAGCAGAATGCTCAACAACCTTCCCGTGCCCTATATTTTCCTGGCGAATAAGATAACTACCAGCACCACCGCCCATCGTCACTGTCTTTTTCTCATTTTCGGCGGTTGTCGTGGAGAAAGCATCATCATTTGGATCTGCAATAATGTACGGCATGACGAGATCGAAATTCCGTGTGGTGTTCACGCCGCTGTCTACATTGTGATGGGGAGAGAATGAAGGTCGTTGATGATGTGTTGTCAGATGTGGTGGGGGATGAGTAGTGGTAGCCATATATGCAGCTGGCTCGGTAGGGCTGTCCAGTAATGATGAAGCAGCAGATGTTGTTGGTGAGTGCGCTAGGGACGGTACCTGGATGGTGCTTTGGCCGCCAGTAGTGGAGACGCTGGCAGAGCTGTGGTGGGCTATGCGGACGGGACGGGGATGGATGGTATCATCGTCATTATTGATAATATCGTTAGAAGTACCATTTTCGTCTGCAATTTTGAAGTCGGTGGTGTTGCTTGTGTTGCTGCCATTGTCCGTGACAATATTGGATGGTGCTGACTTTTGAAATAGGGATAGATAACGGAATGCTTCGCTGGACATTAAGGGATTGGTAGCTCGGTGAGGAATCTTTGGTTTCCACTCGGAGTCCAGTTCTGAGGCGGTGCCTTTTTGATTGTCCACGGGTATTCGAATTGGAGGAGACGGGGAACTTGACGCTGGCTGCGTGGGAGTCATTGGAACACCAATGGATTTAGACGCGACGGATGATGAGGGGGACGCAGGAGGAGAAAGTTTAGAGGAAGTCATTCTTCCAGATGTCATTTGAAAGGTGTCAAGGGGTTTGGTTGAATCCTTTCGACGACAGCTGCATGCACGAGGTTAGAGTATGGAATAATGTGATGGAGACAGATCTTCGTTTGAGGAACTTTGGATCGATGCATATATTGGTGTTTAAAGTAATGTACCTTTCACTGCAGTAGAGAAATGAATCACTTGGAATCATAATCTGTCTCTCGCACGTGGT